GGTGTATACGTATATGTAGTTATACATTGTATACTATAGCCAAAGATCAAATGGGTATTTGGTAAAATTATGCTTTAGTCTGCTGAATCATTAGGCATGTGGAACTGCTTAGTGTGAGAGGATTGAGCGCACTTTTGTAGTGTCTAAGCAAGTTGTTATAGTCAGAGCAAGCCACAATCAGAACGAGTAGTCTATTAGTACACAGAATATACGAATCGGTGAGAGAGATACGCTAAAGACGTGGGCGTGTGGAACGGTACGAAAATATAGATATTTAGACCTAATACAATGATGCACAATATAAGAAACGGACAGCAGACATACAAGCTACGCTGACACGCGTTTGTATGAGGCATCATCAAACACATTCATCATATTAAATTTGTAAAAACAATACACTGACAATAAAAATGTGTCGGACAAATGATAGTGGACGTATGAAGGATAGCACACCACTGGTATTTGTAACTTTACTATGTGCATCAACACATAACAAGCATATCGAAATGACTTCACGGTCGACATACCACGTCTACCGGACGAGACCCAATTCGTGATACACAGCAACTCCGATTTTTTTTTCGCGAGGGGAATAAATCAGGAGTGAATATACAGAGCTAAAAACAATACAGACACGAGATCGGTAGTAGACATACTTATATGCGCATTGGTATATATTCTCTTGCGCATAACTTATAACATTTCATTTTAGGACATGTTTTAGCCTTATTATTTGTTATTTGGCGATATCTTCGTGCTAAACAGTCCATCTACGCCACATGCAACGCTCTTAGAACTATCGTTGCTATTTTACCGAAGTAGTGCAACAGACAGCAACGGTACTCAGCAGAACAGCAGCAAGAATATTATATTAAATTGTATACCACCAATACGTACCGATATACTGGTACTCCTTTGGCGTTCAGCTGAGTGGGTTGCATTGGACATGTTATGATACCCATGCGGTATGTATCACAATTAAAAAAACTCCGATGGAACGTAATACTCAGTGAAGCTATGTACTTGAACAGCGACAAGAGGATGCGATGGAAAGAGGGTAGCGCTCATCCCATACAGCCGGCATGTGTGTATGGCCATCCAATTATGGGCCATCCACTTGGTTCCGATGAGAAACTATTAAGCCAAATACTATACCCTAGAATTCGATCTGATTTCGACTACGTTTATATTTTATTATGTGTAGAGGGTGTCAGTTCAGCGGCACGGCCGTGTTTGCCGTTGACCGATGGGCGCCTTAGGTTTAACCAGTCTGCTCTTATCCGCCTGTGCGATTGCATTAAACAGTAATCATCATAGCCGTTCACGCCACAACATGAAATGTATATGGAAACTCCGCCGAAATACCTATACGCCGCTTTCAGGCTTAATCATACCTAATAGGAATCCGCCCATTCCTTACATATCTTCGATAGCCCCACATTTATCCCTTTGCCAAATATAGTACGGTTCGTTCATCTCCAGGATACTATATAAGCCACACCCTGTGGGGACTCGGGAACGGCAGAAAGCGCTCCAAAATACTGAATGTCTGACTGCTTAGCGCATCCATACGGTCATGTGATATAAACGACTTGCTCGCTGCTCTTTGTAAGCACCCAGGTAGGTACGCTAATTAAGTGGCGGCTCCAGTAGATACACACTCAGTTGATCTGCAGGGGTTGTGCTTCGATCTGTATCCGCTATATAATATCACATTGTCAAAACAGGTAGCATACATTCCCACTAATTCACTGTTAGACGAAATTCATTTAGTGGCCGGCTGTAGTTGCAGGCGTAGCGCGTACTATCACCGTCGATACCCATACTCCCACTTAAGTGTGCACGGAAAAACAAAGCGTGTTGGTGTCTAGCTGTGATTGCAGCTTTAGAACGGCAGCGTTCGGCTCCGTTTGTTTGCAGATGGCCCCCCCTTATCACTCTCGCCTGGAGATGCACGCTTCTGACTACCTTGATACAATAGCGCAGCGTAGTCATCATTCGACAGGTTATTGATGTCGTTCAGTACATTCGAGTGTGCTTGTAGCTGCGTTGCTTGCTGATGCTGTGAGTGCGACTGCGACTGTCGGTACATATGTTGCTTGTTCTGAGATAATCCTGCGGTTAAGTTGGTGGGTTTGATGCCAGCCCTGGTGAGAGCCTCGTACCAGTTGATGCAACCGTACCATCGCTTCAGAATGGCTTGTTCTTCCTCAGATCTCTGAATAGGATGAAGAGAGTATGTGTGATTTAGCTATCTGAGGTGGCTTGTTTTTCCTCAGATCTCTGAATAGGATGAAGAGATGTGTGGTTTAGCTATCAGTGGTGGCTTGTTCTTCCTCAGATCTCTGGAGAATGTGAAGAGAGTATGTATGGTTTAGCTATCAGTGATGGCTTGTTCTTCCTCTGATCTTTGTATAGGATGAAGAGAGTATGTATGGTTTAGCTATCAGTGATGGCTTGTTCATCCTCTGATCTTTGTATAGGATGAAGAGAGTGTGTATGGTTTAGCTATCAGTGATGGCTTGTTCCTCCTCAGATCTCTGGAGAATGTGAAGAGAGTATGTATGGTTTGACTATCGTTGATGGCTGGAAGATACGTTGCTCGGCTTGATCTCTGGGGAAAAGCAAATAGGTCTACAGGACATTTAGAAGGCGCGCAGAGCATATCTTAGTGCGTGGGTAAGTTGGAGAACATATCGACGATAAAAGGTACTGACGGGTTCCATATGCTTTCATCGGAAAATGCTATAAACATATACAACACACATATACGCTTACATATAGGCAATCATGTGCATCCATATATACCCCATACCATTGTATGAGAATGTCGATACGGATTTTTATGTTACGATTAAGCATCTTTGAGAAAGGCGCAAATACTTTTGCAATTAGCCCGGCACAAAAAATGGTCATTTAATTGAAATACGTGCATGCTACGCGCCATCCATGTATTACAAATACATACGCAATACATAATCACAACTAGTACAGGCCTATAAAAATATAAACTTCACGCGTTATCTGTGTATTCGTTGACATGAACGGCATTCAGTTGTACGCATCACAAGCATATGTTTATTTGCACACCAATGACAGTGTAACAAGTAAATGAGTTTGACCGCCATCCGATGCATAATTCATACACACAGTTTGTTGTTACGGTTGGCAATCATTGAATTATGTATGTAAACCCATTTGACAATTAGAAACTTAAGTATATACACGCTACCTCTGGAGCAGGGATATCTGCCAGTTGCGCACACCTCTCCAAGTGGCAGATGAGCTCCTTTTTATTGTACTTGGGCGTGGTCTTGAGATCTATGCCACTCGCATGCTCGGCGACCACTAGCTGCTTCCATTCGTCCACTGTATGAGTGCATTCGTAAATAGATTGGCAAGCATGTATACGTATTTACTTATATACATATACATATACATTTACATATATA